TTCTTTCTTTCCGCCTGCCTGCCTGTCTATATTTCTTTCTTTCTCCCTGTGTGTCTGTGTGTATGTGTGTCTGTCTGTCTGTCTGTCTGTCTGTCTGTCTGTCTGTCTGTCTGTCTGTCTGTCTTTCTTCAACAATAAAAACTAGCTTACAGGTAATTTTTTTTTAATAAGTTTACAGTAGCATGCAGTGTCTGTCTGTCTGTCTGTCTGTCTGTCTGTCTGTCTGTCTGTCTGTCTGTCTGTCTGTCTGTCTGTCTGTCTGTCTGTCTGTCTGTCTGTCTGTCTGTCTGTCTGTCTGTCTGTCTGTCTTTCTTTCTTTCTTTCTTTCTTTCTATCTTTCATTCTATCTTTCATTCTTTCTTTCTTTCTTTCTTTCTTTCTTTCTTTCTTTCTTTCTGTATTTCTTACTGTATTTCTTACTGTATTTCTTTCTTTCTTTCTTTCTTTCTTTCTTTCTTTCTTTCTTTCTTTCTTTCTTTCTTTCTTTCTTTCTTTCTTTCTTTCTTTCTTTCTTTCTTTCTTTCTTTCATTCTTTCATTCTTTCATTCTTTCATTCTTTCATTCTTTCTTTCTTTCTTTCTTTCTTTCTTTCTTTCTTTCTTTCTTTCTTTCTTTCTTTCTTTCTTTCTTTCTTTCTTTCTTTCCGCCTGCCTGCCTGTCTATATTTCTTTCTTTCTCCCTGTGTGTCTGTGTGTCTGTCTGTCTGTCTGTCTGTCTGTCTGTCTTTCTTCAACAATAAAAACTAGTTTACAGGTAATTTTTTTTAATAAGTTTACAGTAGCATGCAGTGTCTGTTTTGTTTTTCCTATAATTTCTTGACATTCTTTAACGGTGATCCTCACCCGCACGGTGGCACATTGTGCCATCGGGTGTTTATCGCTTGTGTGATGTCCTGGTGGGGGAGAAAGTCAGTCAGTGTCAACCCCGCCCGCTTTAGAGACTCCATTCTTTGGATCCAGCCCTTCTTTATATTCCTGAGCATACTTATAGAGTATGATACAACTGATACGAGCCTACTCTTAATTAACTAAAGCTGCAGCAGGCAACGTTGTAAAGTAAAGTAAAGTAAGTAAAGATCCCGTTTCACGCCTTTAGGTGCATCGGGCATATAGGAAAAGCACCCCATGTTTTTACAGACCACTTGGCACTGGGTGGGTAATGTGGTAAGCATTACGCGGGCAGTCTTTACCTCCCCAGGACATCCATCCTGGTACCCATTTTAGGCTGTGTCGACCTGCGACGCCCGATACAGCGATAAAAATCCACGCAGCCAGCAGTGGGTTTCGATCGCGGTACGTTGGAATTACAAGTCGGACTCGCAAAGCCTAAACCACGGAAGCCTCCGCTGGCAACGTTATATGGTGTTAAATCCCGTGTTTCCGCTTTTATTCTTCAGGCACCCGACCCACCAAGTATGGATCTTTCCTCAGGACAAGAAGATGGAATCGGCAACTCCACAGCAAGCAGCAACAGCAGCGGCAGTGGAGAAAGTGGAGGCAGCAATGCCAGCAATTCCACATCCACAACTGCAGTGTCCAATACATTCTACGGCAACTTGCGTCGCTTCTGTGGATACAAGAAAGACATAGACGGCAATCATATCTGGTCATCGCCCATCTTCACCCCGGCCTCCGGTAAACATTACGTCAACAGCACCATAACACTAAACAGAAATAGTGATATCAATTGTAGCAACAACAGCGAACGTCAAAGCACCGTCAGCATCCTGGATAACTCTAACGAGTGCATAACTCTTAATAGCAGCATCGACTCTACACTGGAACAATACCAGGAGGGAAACAACACAAGAAGCAATGAAAACAACATAAACAGAGGATCTGCAAGATTTGGCATTGTTAGTAACAACAGCGGTAGCCAAAGTGCTACCAGTAACAGCTCAGAGAATAGCAATAACAGCAATACAGCTATTGCTTCTATCGATCGAGATCCTACTCATTTTAGTAGTATTCGAATTAAAACAACATCACGAACAAGAATCTATGTGTCCGCGAAAACCCAAAACCGAGTTCTACCACCAAATCTTCAGCTGCCCTCAGAATTAAACCACTTGCAAGACCATGTCCAGGAGAGTGAAGATGAGGAGCGGCTGGAAAACGCTCACAACTCGCAAATCTACCACCAGAATCCCGAACAACCATCTAAGAGATCTTCCCAACGCCAAATTCGAGTTGGGAAAACTACCACAGTACTCTTTGCTGTGACTCTTGCATATATCTTAAGCTTTCTTCCATACCTAACCGTGATGGTCATGAGAAGTATCATAAAAGATCTTGAAGAGAACCTCAGTCCCGTAGGAGAGCTGGCGTATAAACTCTGCGTCAAATCCTTCTTTATAAATAACGCCATCAACCCAATCATCTACAGTTTTCTCAACCAGGCTTTCAGACAAGACGCTAAACAGATGTTTTCCAGGATGTGCTCCAAGTTCTGTGCTTCTAATCATGTTGGTCGGACACTACCTCCTGGTGACGCTGTTTAACCTCCATAGCTGTTCTCACCAGCAGACATCTCTGGAAGCTAATGACTCACGTGACATTCCGTTTTATTGTTGGTGGTAAGCAGATATTCTGCAGTCATAGGAATGCTCCATGCTTAAAACAAGCATCGGTTAAGAGGTCATGGGTAGTTAGTGCTCTTTGAATATTTTCTCGCAGTTTCGCCGGTGTTTGAAAAAAACAAAAAAAAAACGAGCAGACAGACTGGCTAGTTCTGCACCATTTGGTGGTAAATTGGAGCATGACAAGCTAGAAGTTGTAGGGGCCCTTTGGGAGCCAATGGACAACAGGGAGGCGCAAATAGATCATCACTGTCTGAGGAGAATGATTCAGCAAGGAGTGACGAGGGGATTTGGCTGACGTACAACATTCAAGTAAAGGGCGAGACTTGCATACAGTCAGACCATGACTGACACAGTCAGAATTTGAACTGTGCTTGCTGTAGAAGATGGAGACTGAGCGCTTATGGGAATGTCTCAAGCGCTGTGATATAGTTTCCTAATTAACACGACACGACGCTGAGATACAAACTCCACTGCTGAGCTCTGCAGAGGGAGTTTGATGAGAGCAGAACTTTTTTTTCAGGATTAAAAGAAAAATGAATTAGAACGCCAAGACCTATCAGAAAATATATAGGACCGCAGCGCTGTAGTTACAGTAGAACATCCGTGAGGAAGGTGAGGGGAAGACCAAGAAAGAGACGGATAAATTGTGCAGCTGAAGCCTGAAAAAAATATATGAACAAATCCATAACCCAAGACACCCGAGCAGCACAAGACGCAGAAAAGCGTGACACTGGTCTAGACCCTGGTATCAGTGAGATGACCAAACCACGACACTGGGTAAGAACCTGGTATCAGTGAGATGACCAAATCACGACACTGGGTAAGAACCTGGTATCAGTGAGATGATCAAACCACGACACTGGGTAAGAACCTGGTATCAGTGAGATGACAAAATCGCGACACTGGGTAAGAACCTGGTATCAGTGAGATGACCAAACCACGACACTGGGTAAGAACCTGGTATCAGTGAGATGACCAAACCGCGACACTGGGTAAGAACCTGGTATCAGTGAGATGACCAAACCACGACACTGGGTAAGAACCTGGTATCAGTGAGATGATCAAACCACGACACTGGGTAAGAACCTGGTATCAGTGAGATGACAAAATCGCGACACTGGGTAAGAACCTGGTATCAGTGAGATGACCAAACCACGACACTGGGTAAGAACCTGGTATCAGTGAGATGATCAAACCACGACACTGGGTAAGAACCTGGTATCAGTGAGATGACAAAATCGCGACACTGGGTAAGAACCTGGTATCAGTGAGATGACCGAACCACGACACTGGGTAAGAACCTGGTATCAGTGAGATGATCAAACCGCGACACTGGGTAAGAACCTGGTATCAGTGAGATGACAAAATCGCGACACTGGGCTACAACCTGGTATCAGTGAGACGACAAAAACTACGACATTTGGCTTTACCCTTATATCTGTGGTACTATATAAGAAAGAAGAAAGAAACACAGTAGGGCTGAAAAGAAAAGATGAATACAAATGGTGCTACGACCGTAGCAAAAATCAACATTTTCACGAAAAGCGTTATTGTAAATAAAGTATTTGAGCAAGCTCTCTTTACGATATATTTTGACTAATAAATATTGAAACATTTGCACACAAATGTAACTCATATAAATGCACTATTTATTTGGACAAATTGAACATTCATAAAATCATTTTGTAACAGAACGTAATTTATTTATTATTGTTTTTGTCACATTAAAATTATAAATATATGTTTTTTAATGAATTGGTTATTTCATTATTATTTTTTTCACGAATGTTGACCATTCCATGCGATTGGAATGAATGAATAAATGAATGACCAAGGAATTATGTCACTGCACTAGGGGTATTGGCATAGCAACAATAGTCTTTCAAACTCTGAACAAATGCGTAGCTTATTATTACCTAGCTGTACTCGGCCACGCGTTGCTGTGGCTCAGAATGGTGAAACGGAAAAGAAAGAAAATAGCTCTCAGCTAACAGTGTTTGTCATAGCCCCCCCCCCTCCCCTCGACCAAGTCACATCTCCCTCTCCGAAGGATTGAAAAATCATCCCTGGCGAAATTATTAAAATAGAAATAGTTAAGAAATGAGAGCTGTAAAAAATGTTGTAAGCTCTCTCAGCTAACAGTGTCTGGCATAACCTCCCCCCTCCCCCAACCATACCTCCCTTGCCGAAGGATTGAAAAATCATCACCTGGCGAAATTACTAAAATAGAAATAGTTAAGATATGAGAACTCTAAAATAATATTTTAAGCTCTCTCAGTTAACAGTGTCTGGCATGACCCCCCCACCCCCCAATCATATCATCCTCTCCGAAAGATAGGAAAGTCATCATCTGACGAAATATTGTAACTAAAATGAGCTTGGCATCCGTGCCCACCCAGACTAAAATGGGTAGCATTAATTTGTACTGAGAAGTAAATGTGGCCAGTGTAACAGCTACCACATCACAGATCCAGTACCAGTACTACTGCTACCACCACCACCACCACCCTCACAACAACAACAACAAAAACTGTCACTACTGTCTGTGTAGATCGGTGTAGCCAGAGGAGTTAGCGCCGCATGCAGTCGCCATAGACTGTTTACTTTAATTGTGCCCCCGACAAAGAAAAAAAATTCCATCAGCTAACCAGTGATGCAACAGTACTATTCCATGATGAAACAAAAGTACACAATACTCACAAATAGCGGAGAAAAATACCCCGCACCCGTCATATCTGCCTCTCCAAAGAGACGATTTTTAACTGACCTTGGCATCCGTGTCTACACAAACTAAACTGGAGTGTAAGCCGTCTTAGTTAACAGTGTCTGTCATCGCCGAAAAGTTTTTGATCGAGTGAAGCGTCACAGGGAGGCTAATTAGGACTTTACTGAAATCAGATGTCTTTGGGCGAAAGGCGCAGATATCGCAGCCTAGCTGTAAACCACAACACAACGCGGCAACCACCCTTTTAAGGGAAAAAGAGAAATTATCACTCAGCGGGGAATTGAACACCGGTCACCCGCGTGAAGGGTGGAATACTTACTATACTACCGAAGACTGAAGAGTTTAGGTCAGATATCGCAGCCTAGCTGTAAACCACAACACAACGCGCCAACGGCACTCTTGAGGGCGAACGAAGATTACCCGTGACATGACCATTGAGCATCATGTCGCCTCTATCGCAGGCTAGCTGTAAACCCCAAAACAGAAAAGAGGCGTTGATATCGCAGCCTAGCCACAAACCACAACACAACGTGCCAGCCGCCCAGGTAAGGAGCAACAAAAATTATTATATCACCTAGCGGGGAATCGAACGCGGGTCACCCGCATAAAAGGCAGAATATTTACAACTGCGCTATAAGAGACTCAAGTAGTTGGTGGAAATAAAAGTATATAATAATGCAAAGTTGAATAAGAAATAATGTCTCAGGTTTCGGTTAGTACATGTCCAAATACTCAGTCAGGAAATGCTCTAGTGCATAACGAACGTAAATCAATCAAGACAGTTTAACTGGGCCGCCAGTTGAAATGAACAATATTATAGAAAAAAAAAAAAAAAAAGAAATACCAAACACAATGGGGAAAAAACTAAGTATACTCGGGGCAAATAAGATTTGTTTGAAAACCTAAGCTAAGGCGACCAAAAAACCAAAGCAAAACATAAGCCCCCCCCCCCCCCCTCTCCCCCCCCCCCCCCCCCCCAAAAAAAAAAAGAAGAACACGAAAACAAAAAGCCAAGAATGATAAATAGTATAAAATCTATAGTAACGACAGGAATAATTCACCCACTGTTATGTAAATATAATGTGGGGAAGAAAAGGATACACTAAAACAACAAAGTAAACAACACTACAAAATGTGAACCCCAGGCGTCATATAAATATCTGGAAAATGGGGGGAATGTCACTTTTTGGCAGCAGTAAAAAATGGCCAATTAACTAAAAACAAATCCAGGCCGGCAACGAAACAAATATTGATTTGACCGTTGCTAGAGCTACGTCGTTCGTGGTTTGAAAATTTGAAAGTAATCGGTTCAGTAGTTTCAGATTCTACAGTTAACAGCGTCGGAAATTTAACGTTTTTGTTAATATAGATTGTTGGTTAAAGTAAAGCTAATCTCCCCAGGCCACGCCCATATACAAACTAGCTAACTTCCGATTGGTTGTTCCTGAATCTGTCACCTTGAAACAAGGTTACGGGGGTGTTCCGATATGCCGATGATATCGCGTGTTGTATCTTTCATCACGCTAGCGCTTTAAACACTCTAAAAACACGGAGAAACTGGCCCTAACACAATCCACCTAAAGAGGGCTGCAACTTATGTCACAGGCATTCTCTTTCTCAGAATGAAAACGTAATTGCAAGACAGTTTAGTGTAAGCTTTAGTTTCTTTACGAAAAAAGCTATTTCTTGTGGTAGCTGAACAAGGTTTGTTGTTTCGCGAGATATAGATTTAGGGACCTGTTCACGTTTTCCGTCCCATCTTCACACTTGATCAATCTGATCTAGGTCGTTTATTCAGAGTGGAGTCACGTTGTACAGCTTTCTTCAGAAAGAGTCTCTAGTTTGACCTAGGCTCTGGCTGTGGGTAAAAGGGAAGAGGGGGGTGGGTGGGTTAGGACCAGTTCCAGATCTTCTGGGGTCGCTGAAAGCTATGTTGTCGTACAGTGCAGAGCACGAGACATAGGCGCTGATGTAATTTGGGGGCAAGAAAATGTCACACCCCTCCGATGTAAAAGAGTGAGAAAGAATGAATGAAAAGTCAGCCAGTGTGTGGATGGCCCGAGACACGTGAACTTGACCAGATTCTGTAATATCAGGGTGTCATATCTTGAGCTAGAAGCCCGGAGGCCAGGAGGGGACACGAAAGGAAGGAAGGGAAAAAACAACACTTCAGGGCCCTTCTATGATATTCTTT